AAGAAACAAATTAAAGATGAAATTTATAATCCAAAGGGAAGCAGAACAAAAATTTGGAAATCTCAGCCTGCAGAGAATAAGAAAATGTGTTCCTGAGAAAAGGTGTAACAGAGACAACTTGGTAAGGAGATTAGCATGAATGGGCAAAGCCTGGTGCATTTCATCAAGACAATGGAAGAATCACCCTGAAGGCATTTGAAGCTCTTGGGAGGTGGTAGTGCCTAGTGGAACTGTGGGTGGGGGCAGGACCACAGCAAAGAGCCCCCATTAATACAATACCTAGTGTAACTGTGGGAGCAGGGCCACCCTGGAGACCCTAGACTGGTGGAGTTACCGGCATGAAACTCCAGTGGGAAAGCCACAGGCGTGAGACTCTAACCTGTGAGCGCTGCCATGTGTGTGACACCCAGCAAAGCCATGGAGGTAGAGCCCCATGGATCCTTGGAGGCCCAACTTCCACCCCAGTGTGTCCAGAATGTAGGACTTTGAGTTAAATATTATTGTGAAGCCTTAAGATCAAATATTTGCCCTGCTGGGTTTTGGATTTGGTCAGGATCCCCTTTCTTCTTTCCTATTTCTCCCTTTTGGAATGGAACAGCCTATCCTATGCCTGTCCCACCATTGTATTTTGGAACCACGTTTGATTTCACAGCTGGAGAGCAATTTGGATCAGAATAAATTGTACCTTGAGTCTCAACCATATCTGATTTAGATGACACTGTGGACTCTAGACTCTGGAGTTAGTGCTGGAAAAAGTTAAGACTTTTGGGGTCACTGGAGTGAAATGAATACATGTGAGGACATGAATTTTGGGGGCCCAGTGGTAGAATACTGTGGTCTGAATGTTGATGTCCCCTCAGATTCATATGATGAAACCTAGTATCCAATGTGATAGTGTTGAAAGGTGGGACCTGAGGAGTTCAGGGCCACAGCAAGTTATGACTGCACCACTGCATATCAGCCTGGGTGACAGAACAAAAGCAAGACCTGGCCTAAAAAAAAAAAATTAAAAAAGAGTGATTAGGTCATGAGGGCTGCCCTTAGGAATGGGATTAGTGCCCTTATGAAAGAGGTTCACGGAGGCTCCCGTCCTTTTGTCCTCTTCTGCCATGTGAGGACACACAGAAGGTGCCATCTTTGAAGCAGAGATCAAGTCCTCACCAGACACTGAATCTGCTGGCACCTTGGACTCCCAGCCTCCAGAACTGTGAGTAATACATTTCTATTGTTACTAAGTTACCCACTCTATGGTATTTTGTTATAGCAGCCCTAAGGGACTAAGACAAGGGTTTATAAAGCCTAGTGGGAGGACAGAGACCGTGAGGATGACTCTCACATAGTCCGATGACATAGGTATGGGGTGTTGTGGGTTTGAGTTTCTGGGGCTCAGTCTTGAAGAATGAGTTGGCTAAAATCTTGGAGCTTCCAAATCACTGTGCTGCGAATGGGTGCAAGGTATACAAAAACATGGATTTTCCTCAGTTTCTGGTGCAGCCTGGGGCTGGGTTACGGTTCATAAGCTCTGGGTCTCCTCCACTCACCCCAAAGAGTTCTGTATATATTATAATTTTCTTTATGTGCCATGCCCCGAAAAAGATGGGAATCACTGGGTTAGAGGAAGCAGAGTGACGTGGACCAGCTAAAAGGATGTATGTGAAGAAGTGAAAAAGATCAGCCAATTTGAAGAGCTACAAGCAGCTGCCCAGGGGCTCTAGTGAAGAATACACGTGGGTGTGGAACAGTGCCTGGTGCCAGAGAGGCCAAGTAGAAAGCCAGGACCTTCATGTCGGCTTGGTGGCCATGACACCCAACAGTGTCAGTGGACACTGGGAAAAACTTGGACCTCCAACTGGCAGTAAGGGGACACCCTACTCCCTCCCAGCTGGGGTGGTGTCAGAGAGGCGTAGTGGAGAGTCAGTTTTATCATCCACTGCTCAGTGGTAACGAGGCTGTCACACCCCCACACATCATGCCAGTGGAGTCATGCTGGTATCAGTGGCAGCTTTTTAAGACCTGGAACCTACCCAGCAGTAACAAGAAGGCCTTCCTTCCCCCTCCGCTTGTCAACAGAGGCCAAATGGGGAACCTGGACTGTTTCTCCTTTCACCTGGCAGGAACAAGGCAGCACCTCCCTTCCCTCACCAAAGCCCTAAGGAGGCCATCTAATATAAGCCAGAATCTCCTAACATAATACATAAAATGTCCATGTTCTGGTTGAAAATCACTCATCCTAGTGAGACCAGGAAAATCTTGAATAAAATGACAGATAGCAATGCCAAGATGGCACAGAAGTTAGAATTTACCTGACAGTTACCACAGTGGACATTTTAGGCTAAAGAGGTACGTAGGAGGAAAATCATGAAGGAATGTGCGTTGATAACCCAAGGAATCTGCAAGTTAGCCTGGAAGCTGTAGGAGGCTCTGAAGGATTTTGGTCATGGTGGAGCATGCACCATTTAATGTCTACGTCATATAGCTTTGGCAGCAGCAGAATGTGGAACCTATTGGCATGGTGAGTGCACGTGCTATGCCCTCTGTCTTATCTACCTTTCTGCTTCTGCACCCACCTAGGCTGTGCGTGCACAGAATAATGTGTGTGTACCAACTTGCTCAGGACAGGACATCTTTCCTGCAACCCTCACTTCTCTCTCCTACATGCTCAAAGCTTTTTCTCTCAACTCTACACCCCTCTCCAACAATTCCTTAAAGCAAGATCCTTGAAAGAGTTGACTAGACTAATTCCTCTCCTCCCATTCTTCTTGAATCTGTTCCAAGCCTTTGCTCTATGAAGTAAATCAAGACTACCGATGACTTTCCTGTTATTACTGTGTGTGTCCAATCTTCACTCTTCATTTCTCTTGACCTATCTATCTGCAGCAAAGGATCGCATCCCTTTGCCTGAAATCCTTTCTTCCGCTGTCTTCCAGGGCATTAAGTTCTCTTCTTCCTTCACGGAAGCTCCTTCTTGGTCTCCTTTTCTGGTTCCTCTTCATCTCACTGACTTATAAGTGATGGACATTCCATGGGTCTGTTCTCTGATCACCACTCAAACTACAGCTTTAAATGACATCTACATTTTGATGGCTCTTAAATTGCTATCTCCAGCTGAGATCTCTCCCACCTCCAGATCTGCATCTCAAAACTCAACATAATCACCTTGTCCTCCTAAAATCTCCCCATCTCAGAAAGAGGCAATTCTAGTTTTCCAGCGCCTCTGGACCCAAATCTTTGGATCATCCAACTTATTTTCCATCTCACAACTAATCTGTGCACTAAATCTTACTGGCTTTACTTTTTCAAAATACACTTGAAGTCTGGCCAGTTCTCAGTGCTTACACCCTACCACCCCGGACTATGCTAGCATTCCTTCTTACGTTCATAGCAGTGGCCTTCAATGGGTCTCTCCACCTTGCCCCATAGCCTATTCTCAGACATTGCCAGAGTGGTTCTGTTAAAATACACATTGGATCACACTAGTCCTGTGCTTGTCAATTCCTCCTCCCATCTGCCCAACAGCTCCCATTAAAGCTCAACATTGGCCCTTTATTCTCTGGCCTCCAACCAGCCCACTGATTTAATTTAATTCTTTGTCCCTTGCTTACTCCATTACTTCTCCTCTGGCATTCTTGCTGCTGGTCCTCAAGTGCCCAAGCACGCTCCCACCTCAGGACCTCTGCACTTGCTAGTCTCTTGATGGAGCTTAGTTCTTTACTTTTTATGGTCCCTGCTAAAATGTTTACCTTGCCTACATAAACTAAAGTCTAGCCCCTCTTCCTGTTACCACGGTCTAATTTTCTCCATGGCTCCATCAGCACCTGATATTCTCGTGGTGTGTGGCCTGTCCCTCCCATGGGGATCTAAACTTCTCCAGGGTAAGACCCCCTCTGTTTTTTTTTCTCTGCTCTCTCTCTAGTATGTAAGACAGTACCCAGCAGTTAAGTTCTCAATAATGTGCTTAATGAATTAAATAATGTAGTCAGTAAAATAAGCCAAAATTAAGGTTGTAGGAATGGGATCAAGGAGAAGGGGACAGATAGAAGGTAAGCCAGAAGGTTTGAATTCATGGGATTTTACTGGTAGATTTGTGATTTGTATTAGTGATTCAGCAGGTAAAAAGGATGCAAGCAAAAAGAAGGTTCAAATTCTTTTCTGTTTACCGTAGTTCTGGCTTATGTTCTAAAGTTCTTATTTGTTTAAAATTAACTCTGAACCAAAGGGTGCCCGAAGCTGCTCCCCCGCTGTCTGTAGCCCCCCTGAGCTCGCCCTCATGATAGACACACACCCTTCCCTCTCGCATGCCCCACTCGCTGCAGAGAGCCACTGCTCGAACACACGGGCTTGTATTCCATGCGTTTCTGAGATGGGGAAATGTGTACTGGACACATTTAAAAGGTACAAAAGAATTATGTCTTAGGATGCATATGAGGATAAGAAAAAGCTACGCTATTTGAAGTCATTCTGTGGTTAACACAATGCTCCAAACATGGCATGCTGTAAAAAGTGAATGCCTCAAAAAAATGTGTCTTTGAGGCAAGAAAGTGACAATTTAACAATGTGCAAGACAGTTCTTGAAATTCCAAGTCCAGGGAACATGTTGCGCGAGCTTCTAACAGAAGAAATAAAACACATCCTCCCAGGGCGTATTGAATTAAAATCACAATGCACTAGTAAATGATGAAAAGAGAATGAACAGAATAATACTGTCCACAGGGATTATGACCTTTGTGTTCCATAACAAACTACACTGAGGCATGAAAATCACGTTTCTATTCTGACTATGCCACTCTGCTTCCTGCAGAAGCCTTTATAATTAATCTTTTATGTGACAGAATACTTTTTGCATAATGCTTTCATATTTATTGGTCCATAACTGAGATGGATAAATCATTTTCAAATGTGGAATATGTGTAGAATCTTGACTTCTTGCAGTGAGTTGCAGCTGTACACGGTTTTCAAGTGTACACAATTTAGAGCTGTGCTGAAATAACAAGACTTTGTTCTTCTAGGTTTAAAGTAGAAGAGATTTCAATAGGCAGCCTTTATTAACTACTATACAAATCACTCTCTTTTTGTTATTCGGAGACAACAAAATAAGATAGATTTTCTTTCCTTTTTTCAAAAAAGTAGGTTCTCCAAATTAAAAGCATACCATATAATAAAAACAAGTCACAGAACACAAAACTATGCAAACAAAAAATTAATTAAGATGTTTTTCAAGTTCCCAAGCGGATTCATTTACTGACTAGGCACGTTGGTGAGTTGACTATTCTTAAGCAGTCCATAAACAGAAGGAAAGTTCCTGAAAGAGAGGAAAATGAAATATATTTGTATATATCAAGAAATTAATAATAACCATATGCTCGTTTGAATGGCAGCGTTTAGAGGACACAGGCAAGTAGACACTTAATAGAAATAAGGATGTTTATGGAAAACAATGCAAAACAGAATCATTAACATTAAGGACATAAAATATTTGTGTTAAGTAAAGACAGATGAATGATTAACTGGTTTAATGATGATTACACTACTATCCATTATGGTATTTATGGAGTGATTTCAGAATGGTAACGCCTTGTTTTACATAAAACCTCAAATATTAACCTATAAGTTCCTAGGGGTCCACCCTGGCAGAGTCCTTGCATTCTTGTCACCTGATAAGAGACTGAACTTTCAGATATATTTTAAATTTTATTACCTAACCCCAAAGAACCTATTTTGATGTGCTATACGAAACAAAACTGTTATTTAAAAAACTGGCTGGTGATCAGAAAAACAAACAAACAAAACACCCAATCGCAGTGGAGAAATGGCCACTGTGGTGATGTTGACTTCTCATGGCTCTGTCACACGTCCCAGGCCCTAGGTAACTGTTCAATACCACAAAGTGTGCTGAAAACAACTCAGGATACTGCTGATGGCTCCACAGGACCCAGCCCCTTCCTATGTCTCCAGAGGCATCTCTTTCATTTCTCTCCCAGCACGTTATATTCCAGCAGCTGCTTATATGTTCCCAAAACAAATGATGCCATTTCATGTCTTGGTTGACACCCTCCTCTCCCACCTGTATTAGCTTATTATGTCTTAACATTTTCTCCTCCCTTCCTGGCTTGCAAGATTTCGACTTTCAAAACTCCAGATTTTATTTCTTCCTTTGTCCTCGGAGCAAGTTCATCTCTTTCTCCTCTGCACCATCGCTGCCCTTCTCTAGCCTTTTATTACTGCAGAGCGCCAGGGACACAGTGGGCATCTCAGTGTCACCTGCATAAAGCATCAGCACTGGTAGGATCAATCAGATGCAAACTGTGATTTAAAGGCGAATCTTTTAAAGTTACACATTGAATACAGTAAATCTACTGATGAGGGCACTGCTTTCATCAACCAATAAATATTTCTTGAATGGCTTGTGCTGAAGGCTTTAAGGTTTATGAAATTTGACAGACACATCTGTGACCCTCAAGGAGCATACTAGGGATGAAGGACATTTACACAGCTCCAAACTGTCAACCGGCAGGTCAGAATGAGACATCTGCCAATCGAGTCCCCTCAGCCAGGGTTCTCATGGGGAGAGAAGAGAAGGCTCTTCTGGCTGAGAGAGAGAGAAAAGATCTTGAAGAAATGGCAGGATCTAGATAACCAGAGAAGAGGAGAGGGTGGGCAATGCTCGTGCAGGGCAGTGCTAGAGGAGATCCTGTCTGTTTCCTCAGAGAGCCTGTAGGCCTCTCCTGCTACCCTAGTGTGGCTACCATAGTCCCACAAAGCCTGCCCCACCATGGGCCAGCCCTTAACAATACACTTGCTGATGTAAATAAGCCCCAGGAATGCGCGGAGACCAGCAGGAGTCTGAGGAAGGGTCACAGGACTTTCAGCTCTCCCCGTAAGACGCAGACCAGTGTCCAGGAGGTGTCCTTACTGGACCCAGCACGCCCTGCATCTCCTTGCTAAATCACACAGGTAGCCAGCCTGCCACATGCCAGACGTCATGCTGGGTATAGAAGACCATTTTAAACCAACTTTTGGGCAGATGAGTTTCTGGAGTGGCCACAGGAGCTAATCTTGTAGATCATAATGCAAACATACAGCATTTAGATAGGTTTCTTTTACAAAAGCATATTAAGATGCACCATGATCTCTATGGGAAACATCTATAAAATCCCAGTAAGTCTACTTTAACAATTCATTCCACAGATGTTTATAGACATGGCTTCTTGCATTGCCTTTAATGGGAGCAAAACATTAGAAACTAACTATATCTCTGTCAGTAGTTGTTTGGATTATGGCTCTTTCATAGAAATATTATTCAGCCAATACAAAGAAAAAGGTAACTTTCTAGTATAAAATAACAGAAAATGAGCTCTAAGACATACTTCAAAGTAAAACAAGGGGAGAAAAAGGTATAATGTTTTCTATGTAAAAAATAGTGATTTTTTAAAAAAATGCTTTACTTATGCACAGACTATCTCGGGAAAGATACAGGAAAATCACTACAAAGAGTTGCCTGTGGGTGTGTGGGGGTAAAGGTGGGAATTAAGACCACTGTGTGTGTATATTTTGTACCAAGCACATGTATTACCGACTAAATAAAGGACATATTTTGGTTTTCCAACTTCACATTTATCATTGAAAAAAATCTAATGATTAGAGAAACATCACACTTCCACTAAGAAAACAAATGAATACAAATGCTTCTCATCTTAGGATGGGGTTATGTCCTGTAAACCCGTTGTAAGTCAAAAACATTAAGTTGGAAACATACACAATACACTTAACCTACCAAACATCATAGCTTAGCTTAGCCTACCTTAAACATACTCAAAACACTTACATTGCATATGGTTGGGCTGAATCATCAAACACAAAGCCTATTTTATAATAAAGTTTGATATCTCAAGTAATTTCTGAATGCTGTACTCAAAGTGAAAAACAAAATGGCTCACTGCCAGTGCCTGGCATTGCAAGAGTATCATACTGCTATGGCTAGCTGTAGAAAAGATACGTATTCAAAATCTGAAGTACAGTTTCTACTGAACATGTATTAGCGACTGTCTGTACCGAAAAGTGCTCAGTGTTAGTGTTTCAAGAATTATAGGTTCATTTGTTCACTCGTTCATTCCCCACTGAACACCCTGTCAGTTTCCACTATGTCTATGTGCCAGGCAGTGTGCTAGTATTTGGAAGTACAAGTCCAATAAGACATGGTTCTTCTACCTTTAAGGAACTTCCAAGTCTTGCAGTCAGGGAGAAAAACCCACCGACAAGCAGAACAGAAATCTAGCCTCAGGATAACACCACCATCCCTGCACACTTCACAGTGGTACCTGTTTGTTTATTCTATCTCCTTGTTTTGACTGTCTGTTAGGTACTAGGAACTGTGTTAGGTAGCAGACACGTAAATCCTGCCAGCGGTGGTTCAGATGAGATAAACACACAGGACAGAACTTAATAACCTGGTAAGTTCTCCTCAAATGTAAGGATGACTAACTTAATCTAATAAGGCCAAACAAGACCTAGTACATCGTCCTGTACTATCAGCCACCGAGCTACCACATCCACTTTATTCACTCAGACATCCGATGGCTTGTTCATTTATCACTTACTAGGTGTGAGACAGGGTAACTGCACTAAAGATGTTGACAATCTGGTGGGAGGAAAGGAGGGTCAACAGCCAATCTCAGGATACTGTACTGCAGAATTCATAGAGTAAGACGAGGGTCCACAGAAGAGCTGCGAACATGGCGGGCTAGGGAGGGCCTCCAGGGTGAGGGGATGCTTCAGTTCCACTGGGAAGTCTGGATAGGCCAGCAACAACTAGCTAGACCAAGAGCTGGGTGAGAGTTGTGTTCATTCATTCGTGTTCATTTATTTGAGTGGGGTAAGGAACTGTGACTTCGGGCGGAGAATGGCACTGATAGAAAAGCTCTAGATGGTTTTCAATCTATCAGCGCTGGACCACAGTGGGGTGGGGTCAGAGCATGCTGTGCTCCAGGCGGCTGGGGAGGCCAGCAGCAGAATCACACCGGGCTTGATGTTCAGAGCCAAGGAGGCTGAGTTTTATCCTGAAAGTCACTGAAGGACTCATCACATTAAGATCTGAAAAATGATTTCAGCAATGGGTGCTAATCACTGAAATATACAACAGAGATTCTTGAAACAGGAATGTCAGTCAGAATCAACTTCAACCGGACAGGATTTTCCATCGATAAGGGAGGGTGAAATTCAGACTGAAAAATGATCTGCAGTCTTTCCCAATCAGAAATAGAATCAGGCATAAAATAGATTGTTTTTTTAAAATAAGTATGGATTTTTTCCTTTCTATCCCTACAAAACACTGAATATCAATATAAACAGTAGATAATGTTTGGCAGAAAACAATAAACTTTATTCCTTAAATTTATCACATATTCTATAAAACGTCTCATATTTTCATTTAACTTTTGACTCTACAGTTTTATTTTTTCTTCAAATCATTAGTTTTAAATTCTGGAACCTGTCTCTGTATACAGTGACCAGAGTCTTTAATTTTGAGTTAAACAAGAGAGCTAGACTATCTAAATTGTAGTGCTGTTCACACGATTGTGCGGGTTTTTTTGGGTCTGGGCTGACCGTTCCTAACATTGCCTGTCAGGAATCATCTTGATCACCACTGACAATGCCATTCACTTACTAAACTCTTACACTGTCAAATAACTATGTGAAGAGATGGTTACAAGAGGATGAAAAAGTGAGAGCACCTATTTTTTAAGGCACGGATTGGCTATAAAATCACTAACCAGTGGAAACAGAAGTTTGTAGAGTTCTTTTTGGAACACAGACTAAATGAGGCACTATCTGCCCAAGGGAATGGAGTAGGTCAAGCTTAAAGGCAAAGAGGATACTACACTTGAAAATGGTTGCACTGAATTTGTGCTTCTTAGCAGAACCTACAAGACCCTTCATTACATGTCCCTTTCCTACCCAGTCAGCATCATCTCTTACTTTCTCTAATGATCTAATATACCTAAAGTTTCCTCAATGATCATGTTTTCTTATAATGGCAAATATTTACATACAGCAACCAATGAGTGAACACCTTTATTTGTGCCAGGTATGCTTCTAATCTTCACAGCAACACTAAGGTAGGTATCACGACTGTCTGGGGAACCTGCAGTTTAGACTCCTGTTTAGAGAGGTTAAGTCACTGACTCAAGGTCACAAAGCGGGTGAAGGGCAGAGCAGAAGTATGGATGCTCCGAGAGGACCTGCCCTGTGTGGTTATCTTCTACTGGTCTTAATATCTCCACGGGCCCCTTCTGCGACCTCTGACCAACCTGCCAGGGTGACACATCTCCCTTCCATGCGCCTAGAAAGCACGTGTATCTCTGTCAGAGCTCTGCAGACGTTGTCTCTGTCCGTTTCCCCAGTAGAGTGTGGCACTTGCAAGGACAACAATGATGTCCTTAATCACTGTCTTCCTGCCATCTGCAACACAGCAAGTGTTCAGCAGATATATCCGAGTAAATACTGATACTGATTTGACTTGGAATACCTGAGACAAGAAGATTCAGAACCTAAACAAGTGAAAGACTCCATGAAGGAATCTGGGGCAGGGGCGGGGAAGAGAGAGAGAAAGGGGCAGTTACCATTCACGATGCTCAGCGTTGTGTGAGATACTCTCTGGGAAACAAGGTAACAAAAATTAAAGGCTCCTTCTCTTAAAGAGCCTTGAATCTAATGGAGGAGCCACTGTAATATAAAGAATGACACTGTAACAACATGGTTAAGATCAAAGACTCTGGATTAAAGTCAATTGTTCAAATCGGGGCTCTACCAGTTATAAGGTACATGAGCAACATAAGCGTGAAATTCACCTCCTGAAGCTTAAATTTCTTCCTTTTTTAAAATGTAGATGACACCTTCTTATGGCTGTGAGGATTCAATAAAATAATTTACAGAAAGTGATAAGCACATGCTTGGCTGTTATGGCAACTTACAACCAATGTAAGTCATATGATACCAATATTAAAATAAGGAAATATAAACCAAGTATGCTCTTTAGAGAGGGCGGAGGGATCACTGCCTGATTTAACTGGTGAGGACATCATGGAAGAGAGGGCATGGGGCTGAGTTCTGAAGGACGGGTATGGTTTCTTCATGCAAAGATACAGGCGACAGCAAGTTGTGTGTTATGGGCTGTCACCTCCATTTGGTTTTGCAGTATTTGAATACAGGGCTCCATGTCTTATCAGTCTTTGTATGACCAGTGCCCCTGTTGTGCCAGTATGGAGCTCATGTTCCATGGATGCTGTCATATGAGAAAATAAATGAATTCCACGGGGGCAAAAACAAAGGTGAGAAGGAAGCAATTTGGGAACAATGAAATGTGCTCTTAGAGACATGAGAAGACAGGCTTATCTATAGCAGGGTCTTCCCATGGAAACAGAAAAAAATCAGGTCTGGTGGAGCATCAGCCAGACAAGAGAAGATCTCGAAGGCCAAGTAGGAAAGTTCCTGTCTGATAGTGATCTGGACCTTTCTGGATCACAATCCCTTTTTACAGTCTGATAAAGTTATGGATGCTTTGAAAAAATGACAAGAAATATAAAATTGCACAGTATTTCCTATTAATTAACTCTGAAGAGCACCTGAGGATTGACCCTCTACCTCTCCATAATTCTAGATTTATTATTCTGTATGCCAACTCCTTAAAAAATTATTTAATACAGAAAAAAGTTATGAAAAACTTCAGTAACATCACACACTACAGAGATGTGGTGGACATCACATTCCCATTCCGTACAAGAGAAAAACAAACAACAACAAAAATCCAAACAGACAAACATAAAGAAAATACAATAAACTTAGTTTGGTCCACAAAAATGATGAGAATTATTTTCTTTCTAAAAGTAATTTAATTATTTCAGGCTAATTTTGGCTATAAAGGAAAACCAAGGTCATATATTTTTCATATATATTAAATATGTAAATACAACTTTGACAATTAAACTTTACATGATTGTATCACTTTCAGTTCACAAAACACTCTGACGATATTATCTTAATTCTAACAAGTGCATGGGATAAGCATCATTTTCACTGAACTGATAGAGAAAGTGAGACTTGCCCAAAGTCACAGTTACTGGCAGAGCTCAAATACAAACACTGAAAAAGTAAGACTCTCTGGAAGATCACGGCCTAAGTAGTATTTTTTGATGCTTTAGAAAAAAAACCAAGAAGATGTAAAACAGAGACAAAATTCAGAAGCACAGAAAACCATGCTTCCACAAGACTAAGAGAAATACTGTCAAAAATTTCCAGCATATTTGTGTAATTTTTTTTTGCCTAGGCATGCACATAGAAAACAAAAATTGAGATACTATATATTAAGTTTGGCAAATTGCTCTTTTTACTGAATAATCTGGAAAATTTTTTTCATGCTATTGACTAGACTGCTAGATATTTTCTGAAGAAAGTAATCTGAATACTTAAATACCAGGATGAACCTGAGCCTCCAATCTCTGCCGCTTATAATGAAGCTTCCTGGGCCTGACTTGTTTACATTCAGGAAGCTTTTTTTCTGACTTTTGGAGTTAATCTGACATAATCACTGGTGTTGTACTAGGAAATCAGCATGGGAAATTTTCCATGTGACTTCAGATAAGTGTGAAATTGTCTTCATCTTCCACACAGTTCAGGATAATTGGAACAAAAAGGCAAACTTACCTTTTTTTGCTTCAGGTGTTCAACCAGTTCCTGTGACATTCCAAGATGGCTGACATTTCCTAACAAAAGAAAAGACCTTTTTACTCAAAATAAAGAGAAAAAAATCCCCCAAGAAATAAAAATTAAACATTTTACATAATCTACAATTAAAAAAGCTTAATGATTAAAGAATAACTTTATTAAATATTTGTCAGTTTTAAGAAGTGCCCTCAATTACTAACCAAATAATGTATTACAAATAACTAGTTATGAGGTTTTACAGTTGTTTAATAGGGAGTAATTGGCCCCAATTAAACTGACTAAACTAAGGCTTTTTAGATTACTAAAACAAATTAAACTTTTTAAAATGAGAATTTAGGTGATCTTAAAACTTTTCTAAAATGGATAATGAAACTTGCTAAGTTGTAATCTCCCTGGTTTTATTAGTTATATTAAGATAAATTAAGTGAGATTAAAAATCTTATTTGATTTATTTACCTTTGAAAATGAAGACCGTTTAAGGGTTACACATCCTCAGCCTTGGCGAGTGCGACCTCAATTAGTCAAGCCAGAAAGTCTTTAAAAGCTTTGTGCTTAGTGCTTCCAGCATGGAGCGAGGTGTTCATTAAGGTACCAAAATTCTCATAAAAAATCCAAAGTTGCACTAGTGAAAAAACGCTCAACAAGATGAAAACTGATCACATCTTTTTCAGAAAATCCAGTAGTTATTTTAAAACCAGTTTTTAAACAAGATTTGGTTTTGCGTAGTTTAACGTGCCACTCAAGCAGCTCGATACCATTTGGACTCTTTAAACAGCATTTAAGTCTATGGTGAGTATATAATGGTACATTTAATTTTATACCATTTTTAAAATAAGTTGTACAATGTTTAGTGTGACCCTTTTATGACAAGCATTGTTAAATGAATTCTTTCCCTGTTTACAACTATTTATGAAGGCCTTTTTAAATAAAAAAAACCCATGAAATTGTTAGCTCACACACACAAAATTTCTTTCAAAAGTTTATTTAGTATCAAGCAAGAGGAGACTTTGCTTAACACTACAGAACATTTCAAGACTTGAGTTACAAAAGAATACCACATTATTAGCACTTGTAATTGGCTTCCCTTTTTACGCATGTTGGCAAGAGAAAAAAAAACTAGCATATGGCTGAAAGATCAAATAACTAAATTCTATGGAAACCTTTAAAATGAAAGGTGAGGCTTATGTTAAAAGAATAGATTAACATATTTAGTAAACCTATTTTTTGTTTAACACTAGTTAATCAAAGTTATTTTTTTCCTTTTGATGACCTATTTTTTCATATACAGACTGGAAATAACAAAATTTTACATGTCTTTTTTTTTTTTTTTTTTTCTGCCCAGGTTGATGTTTCAACAAAGTAGTTTTAAGTTCCATCCATTCAGATTTTAAGCATTTTGATTTATTTAAAAAGGGATTGTTCATAGAAAAAAATTACTTTGAACAGTATACAGGACTGGTGGAGATTGGCTATTTCACAACATCAGACAGTACAATCAGTATCTGCCATATGGCTGGTCTCTGTAGACGCCCTTTGCTGTCCTCGCTGAAGGTGCCTTGTGTCTTGAGTTAGTCCACTCTTCTTGTCCTACAATCAGTAAGATGAACCACAATTAGATCGCTGCCACGAATCCCACAGGCTTCATTTTTCAGACTCTAACTTAGCCCTGAACCAAAGGTACATGTCATATTGAAAATTATACCCCTGGTGTACTGAAAAGAAAAACAAACAAGGAATTTACTTAAATAAATTACAAACACAAGGAAAAATAATCATCTCACTTGCAAAATTTGTCAGCATGAGAAGAAAAACGGTTCTTGTATCTGAAATGGCAACCAACTTTGCAAGGACTTTCCTTTCGGTTACTGATTTAATAACAGTTTACAAGTTCAAGTAGCAAAGAGAATTGCCTTTTGCTAAACATCTGGACATTTATGAGTGAAAAAGAGAACAGGAAAAGGATCACTTAGATGTTTTCCAACAGTAAAAACAAAGAAAAAACATAGATGAACATCTGTGAAGACAAAGGAGAAGAAAACTGGAGAGCAAAATGGGAAGGGGCAGACTGAGAAAGGGAAACATGATCTCACTTTTCATAGGCGCTTTCACCGAAAGACTGAAGGAAAGTTGCATTGGGTTGAACTTCACTTCTCAATAACACTTTACGAATATGAAATAAATTTAACGACATAATGTCAGATTTCATTCATCATAATGCTAAATCCGTACTGGACAATGGTATTAATAACCAAGGACATTCTATCACCTTTATCTCCTGAAATTAAACACCTGTTCAGCCTGAAGATAACTTTTAATGAGTTATCTATAAGTCTTTGACATCAAACAGTTAACATCCCTGCTGCAACATACAGCAATTTAAAAGCCATGTGTCCACAGAGACCAATTTAAAAAGCTGTGAAGGAAAAATGCTTAAAATGACCTCTTCTTTTGATACAAAACATGTAATCAATGTCATTCCCTCAAGCTAACTTGCATCAATTTAAGTAGCTGCATTCAGCAGACCAACATATTTCTCTTAAGTGTTTGTTACGGATAACCAAAAAAAACCAACAACAACAAAAAAAACAAATCCAAGGTGCAATCATCACAGCTTCGGGCAGGTGATACAACAAAATGCACTTCAAAAGGTTTAACACCGGAAAATGGATTTTCAGTTCTGTTAAGAGAAATGTCCTAACATCCCTTAACCACAATCCTGATACACTTGCACCAGGTACCAGGGATTCATCAGAGCTTTGCAACTGATTGAAGCTTCACGTTCTCTGATCTCCTTGCCCTGCGGCAAAGGCTCTTCTTACTACTGCTATGTTGCTGCCACCAATTCTTTTAATTAAACCTGTCATCCTTCTGCATAGTGAGACTTTGGACATGAAGTCCCCAGCATCTCTACCAGCTCCACTGAATTAAGAGGGGTTTAGCTGCCGTCCTGTGAAGCTTACAGACCCTGTATCTCCTCCTTGGTTCACTGCTTTTGTAACCTTTATGAAATGACTCCCAGTGTAATCTTTTTCAGAGGGTTTGAGATTGGAAATGAATTAAAATATAAAGATGAAGGTGGGAGAATCACTTCAGAGCTGTAGTCTCAATTGCTTCATTTCCCTTCGCTGTCAAGAAACAAAGACACTTCAAAAAGACCCAGCTATCAAGTGTCTGCTGTTTGAAAAACAACTCTGTGAGAAAATCAGCACACGACAATCAACCCAAACATAAAATTGAAGTTCAGAATCTGGATTCATGCAATCTTTGGCAAGTCTTTAGTCCTCTTTAAATATTTAAATAATAAAGGAGCCTCTAAAAATAGCTAGATATGCACAAACGAATTGACAGGAAGCTGCTGTTTCAGAGTCCAAATGTCCTTATAAATCTCTCTTCCCATTAAGATCTTTAAGGTCTTTCTATGGCCATCTCTCCTCCCTCTCTTCACATGCTCTGGCCAGTCACTCACCATAGGAATCGTAAGTCTCCTCACTGAGTCCATGTCCGTAATCATAGTAATCAGCACCACTGTAGTGAACAAAACAAAACAAAGGACAAAATCATCTGGCTGTGAGTTTCAACAGTATTCAATAAAGTACTGTAAAACTAATGAAGGGCAGGACTGAACATTCAAAGGAAGTCCCACCGAGATCACAAAGTTCTAAAGCGGAAGTGTTAACTTTAGGATTATCAAAGGCCCCTTGTCTAGCTCCCTAATTTTAATATATAATAAATATGTTTTGACATTTTAACCACAACAATTGGCCACCCAACACACGGTAAGTGCCTAAAAGTACACAAGGGAATACAAAGACAGGACCTGACCTGGGAAGACTGGGAGTCTGCAGAGAGGGAGGATGTGTTTGGACAATTCTAGCCCAGTGTGCCAAGAGCTAGGGCTGGGCCTGTGCAAGGCACCGTGGGAGTGGGGGAGGAGGTAAGCACTTCCTTTCCAATAGATGGGATGTTTTCAGAAGGCAAAGACTTTATTGCTTCTTACACCCTCGTCTACCAGAGAACTTGGTGCTGCATGAATTGTGGGTGCTGTACCTTATAACACATTAAAAACAAATGCCCAGATGAAACGTTTTCTTTCATCGGCACTGCTGCATCACCATCCAGAAACTGCCAGGAAAAGGAAAGGTAACTCAGCAGCCATGGCCACATGGGACAGGAGAGCAGAGAAATGGATCTCTGCAATCTTGTCACAAGTCTGGTTACACGAGGCCAAGGATCTTTCCAAAGTACAGGCAAATTCATGTTCCAATGTACAACATCCTTGAGAGAGCACGAGGAAAGGGCCATCACTGACAGCAAGAGAGAAGAGTTACCACTGCCATTTTGCAGATGATGCAAAACAGCCTACAGATATACAGTATATTTGAACTAGGAATAATTGTTTACAGGAACAGACTTGTGAAAAGTCTAGATTACTAAGCCATAACCATTCTGTGTATCTGAGAAAGGGTTTCCACGGACCCTCTCAGGCTTTCCTCTTTCCCACTTGACTTAATTTTGAAGGGAAACAACCATCCTGAATTTGTTATCTTAGACTGTCATGAAAAGAAACATCCCCATTCTCCCAATTCCATACAATAAAGAGGTTTCTAATCAAAATGGAAAACGATCCAGCGCAGCTGTTTAACACCTCAGGAAGTCACAGTCTGAGGAGCACAGATGCATGCTGTGAATGCCGACTGAACACCAGTCGCTGCGATCCCACATCACCCCCAGCCTCAGAGAGTAAAACTGCCATACCCATTTGACAGATAAGGACACCGCAGACCAGAAGAGCTAAGAAGTCAGCCTAAATTGCATGGAGAATGGTATAGCTGAATCTCTTTGCCTACAGAGGCCAGACTTGTGGTCACACCCACACGGACTTTTTCCCAACGTCTTCCTTCTCAGGAAAATGACACCAGAGACTAATCACCACATTCAATGACTACAGCGCAGCATGGCCATTCCTATGAGAAAAGTGTAAGCAATGGAGCTATGTTCCTTTTTATCTCAAAATATGAGCATAAGTTTTTACATTTGCTACTCCTTCTGCCCTTAGAAGGCCCTTCTCTCCTCTCCTCCAGGCTACTTCCAACTCAAGCCCTTAACTTAAATGCCACTTCCAAAGAGAACCCTGCTAGTCTCCCTGAGTGAGGTTGGTTTCCCACGACAGCATGTCCTGGTTCTCCCCCTTCTGGCCTGGAGGAGACCCTCACATTACATATGTTAAGTGGGTATACGGAGAAGGGGCACCTCCATCACTCCAGTGTGTCACGAATGGCTTCTTGGAGCATGCAGTGCTTGCACCGTGTTCTGAAGGAACAGGAGGGTGAAGGTGAAGACAGGTGGAGAAGGAATGGACAGAGGCAATGACAGCAAAGGTCTTCCAGGCAGAAGAAACAGTATATGCAAAGCAGAGGCAGGAAACAGGTTGAAAAATGTAGGTGTCTACAAGCAGTTCAAACAAATATAGTAAGTATTGATGAAAAATGCCTGCACCGCGGTGGCTCACGCCTGTAATCCTAGCACTTTGGCAGGCTGAAGTCAGAAGATAGAGACCATCCTGGCCAACATGGTGAAACCCCGTCTCTACTAAATATATATATATATATATATTTTATATATATATTATATAATATCTCTCTTTCTCTCTCTCTCTCTCTCTCTATATATATATATATAAAAATTAGCTGGACATGGTGGCACCTGTAGTCCCAGCTACTCAGGATGCTGAGGCAGGGGAATCGCTTGAACCCAGGAGGCGGAGGTTGCAGTGAGCTGAGATCATGCCACTGCACTCCAGCCTGGCGACAGAACGAAACTCCATCACAGAAAAATAAATAAATAAATAAAAGACAAATGCCTGGACCAGAATATTCCTTTGGATAAAATACTTCTTCTACACGTAGAACATAGGCCCCACTTTGTTATCCTGGCTTAATCATACCCTTACAAGTTAATTAAATGCAGTGTAACATGGTGGTTGATTTGAGCTCTCTGTATAAAATAAGTTATCTGAAATGTGCTGTGTTAAGCTCCGCTGGCTTAACACATTACAGAATAGTCCCTACTATAGCTGACCTAATATACCAACTAGCAATGTGCAATTTTTCCACAGACGTACATGTAGCTATAGAGTTTTAAAACATGGTCTTCAAATTGAGGGCTGGCATTCCTAAAACAATTTAGAAGGAAAAGGAGTGTGAGAGGAATGCAGCTATTGCGAGCCACACCACTGCCCTACTGACAACTTCTCACGCGCACGAGCTCACCTAATCTAAAAAAACTCTATGCTTTTACAGACGAGGCAGCTGAGGCCCAAGCTGAGCCATCTGCCCAGGGTCACATAACTTGTAAGTGGCAGCACCTACACTCAAAGCTCCGAACACTACCACTGCCATGTGCTGAACACAAATGCTACAGGTGGCTTTTGCTCACCACGGGTGGCCACCTTATCGGATTGGTTCCCACTTTGGCTTGGCCTTTTGCTCTTCCAGAATTTCTCTTGTTTGCCCTCCCTCGGGCTTTAATGATCCTTCCTCGTGCTCAGAAACAGAAGCCGGGCCCACATGAAACATGCTGCCACATGATCATAGTGATCTGGGACTGCCTTAGTCTCTCTCTGGTTTCCCTTCTGTAGTCCCAATTTTCCCTCACAGAATAATATACAGTTATGGTGAGAAGAGGAGGACTAACTGAAAAAAGAACAGATCAATTTTTATATTCAAAAAGATAATAAACCAGCAGAAACTAACAACAAAAGAAAAAAACACTGCTTTCCTGCTTAACTTATGATAGCTTTAAATATGAGAATGCTATTAAAGTATTAACAGAATATTTCTCTTGTCTTGAGAACTGAAATTGAGACTCAATTAAAGCTGTTGACAAAAACGTCTGTCAGCTGTCAGTCCAGGCCTGGGCCTCCACCCGCGGTGCCACCCTGGGAGGGCGGCTTCCATGTGGGGGTCTTCCTGTGCATCTGCCAAATCAGGGGTTGGTCTAGACGCTGCTCAGGTCTCCTGGCAGCTCTGACATCCTCCATGGCTCTTTCACAGCATCTCGCCCCACCGTAGTCAACATAATTTCTCATTTTGTTGAAAATAAATTGGCAAATGCTTCTTGGAAACTCAGCACTAAATTAAATGAACCTCAGTCTTTTTTCCAAGGGTCAGAAGTTAGATCGTAATGGCTCCTTAGACAAATACAACCTTGATGTTCTTGAGAATTTTATCTCCGTTGCACAGATAAATGAGTAACCTCACCATAACACGGAAAGGGATTTCCTTGACTGAGACAGTTCCTGATTGTTTAACTTGGAACTGTAAATGACAGGTCCTGCGACTAATAAAGAGAAGGGTTAACAACTCCTTTCTGACCAAACTAAACCTCCTTTATTAAATGAAGTGAGCAGTAATGAACATAACCATAGACTGGAAATTTACTGTGAGGTGCTATAACATAGTTCAGCATAAAATGAGGGTAGAGAATGTTTTTCAGTGCACGGAAGGTAAAAGGTAGCATGATTAGGTCCAGCAATGGTTTGGTGATAAGACAATCTTAGTTTTGACAAGTGAAAACTTTAAAACTGACATTTGCTATCATTTCACCCAGTTTCTGATTATTTATTGCAAGACTGTCATCAAGCCGAGGAGCTGGGAGCAGCTGGGTCCCATTCTCATACCTGTCAGTTCCGTCTGATTTGCTTTCGCAGCATTTCATTTCGTCTACCTCAAATGTCTATTAACCAAAGACGTATCCTATTTCCCAAGGATAAACTAAAAACCCAACATATGGCAAAGGAGAAAAACACTAAAAATCTCTTCATTTATGGATACAACTTTTAACATTGATAACAGGCAAGAAAATACATTAGGCCAAATATGAGAATGGGCAAGAAACACATTAGGCCATCACTAGCAAAAATCCCTTATATAGTCTCGATCTCTTTGAAAGTTTCTTGCTCAATGAAAACTTGATTTACCTCTAATGACAATTCTTCCCCAGCAACCCTCTCCACTTTTTTCTTTAACTCCCACAGCGGAGATGTCACTGGGTGATGTGGTTTGATGTTTGTGCCCCTGCAAATCTCATGCGGAAATGTAATCCCCCGTGTTGGAGGGTGTTGGAGGTGGGGCTTGGTGGGAGGTGACTGGATCATGGGGGCAGACCCCTCATGAATGGTTTAGCACCATCCCCTTGGTGGTAAGTGAGTTCTTGCTCAGTTCACAAGATGTGGTTGTTGAAAAGCCTGTGGCGCCACCCCCTTCTTTCTCTGCTCCCACTCTCACTTGGCCTTCTGCCATGAGTAACAGCTCCCTGAGGCCCTGTACAGCCTGCAGAACTGTAAGCCAATTAAACCTCTTTTCATTACAAATTACCCAGCCTCAGGCACTTCTTCACAGCAACTGCAAAAATGGCTGAATACAATGGGCCTAGAGGAAAGGAGAGTATTTTTCCTTTTTTTGGCTAACCCCTCCCGCCCCTAAGGTACAGACACCTCTGCCATTTCCAGACCATCGTGCTTCACT